TCATCAGAGAGCTGTAATGTGCCAGAACAGAAACCACAAGATATAATCCCTAACCTGAAGAGATTCACAATCTAGAGGGAATGACAGATAATTAATCATAATATAGTGAGATATGAGAAATAAATATCTATGTAAGAGGTAGAGAAAGAGGTAGCAATCCAATTGTTTTCTATTGAAATCAGAATTTTCTCTCTGATGGATAACCATAGAAGCATAGAAAAAATAAAATACTTAAAATGAACTTTTGTTTTGTTCTGTTTTTGTAACAGGACCATTGAAAATGAATCCAAACTAAACTGGGGACTTTGTCCATCTAACCATTTTCTGTTCTTGGCTTGAACATCACTCCTTCAGAGAACTCTCTGATCCCTCTTGATATACACACACACTGGGGTAGGACTCCTGCCATGTACATTCCACTAGAGTGGGAAGTCCATGAGGCCAAAGAACATGTCTACCTAGTATACTGACTATTACATATCTAGAGCAGTGGTTCCCAAACTTATTTGGCCTACCGCCCCCTTTCCAGAAAAAATATTACTCAGCCCCTGGAAATTAATTTTTTTTAAATTTTAATAGCAGTTACTCATCGCCCCCAAATGCACCTGTGGCCATCACCGCCCCCCTGGATCGCTGCAGCGCCTACCAGGGGGCGGTAGCGCCCACTTTGGGAATCACTAATCTAGAGCCTAGAGCTGTCTCTAGCACATACTAGGTGTTCCATAAATGTTTGATGAAAAAAAATCTCCCTGCAATACATTTATTTTTTCTCTTTTCAAACCAATTTATCTCATTTTTCCATTCTATAAGGAGAAATAATAATTTCCCTTTCTAAATACTGTTCTTTGCCCTTTCCTTCAAAATGACTGTTTCTCTAATTTTTCAAGACATCATCATTGAATATCTAGAAGTAAGTTGCATTTTATGCATCTACATAAGTGGAGAATTGAACCTGAAGAGGATATCTGAGGCTGTTGGCCTATTTGTAGACTTCCAGAATCGGTTCCCCAGAGCTCTTATTCACACAATTTCCAAGGGATTTGGGCTAAAGAAGGGAGACTTTCTTCTGGAAAGTAGTTAAAGATTAGTTGTTCTCAGGGGAACGATGAAAGATCAGCATTCACTTTCTGTGCCCAAAATTAATTCTTACCCCCTCCCTTCACTAAAGGGAAGAGGGAAAGAGGAGCAAGATCCTGGTTGAAGGCTTAAAGTGTTCCAGATATTTAGAAACAGAAACTGAGATGCCATGAAAGAGCCTCCAGTCCTAAAGCATCCAGTTCTGAGGTCAGTGAATCCTGTGTTTGGTGCTTCCCCAGGCATCTGGCCGCCAGAGAGAGATATTTTAAGTCATGGCAAGGCCATGTGGCAACCTCAAAAACCACACCCTTTGAATATCAGCTTCCTCCATCAACAAGTTTGAGATGGTGCAAGAAATAAAGGCTTTGCTATGGGGATATACTAGTAGGTCCCACTGAAATGCTGTTGCCTTTAAAAAAAAAAGATTAGTAAGTTCCTTGTATTTTTATTTACTAAATGTTCTGCTAAAAACTGGAAAAGCCCAATTTGGATGTTTTCAAATGTCCAGATGTGTCCTAGATACAGCTTAGATGTCAGGAAGAGATTTGAATTGATTTAAATATGAGAGGTTTTTTTCACTGCAAAAATATCTCTTCTGAATTATATAGTCTTTCACATGACCCTTGGAGGAAATAGGGGAGAAAAGTACATTTACTAGGGGTATCGGTTAATAATGCGGATTTTGTAATCAAAGAAAACACAATAATTTCAAGAGAAACATCAAAAGTGCTTTATTCAAAGTAATGTCCATTGCTAGCTACACATTTCCCCCATCTTCCAGGTAATTTGTGGATACCGTCCCAATAGAACTTTTCTTGTTTTAAGGCAAACCATTCAGAGACCCAATTTTCTACTTGTTCGTACGTTTTGAAGTGCTGCTCAGAAAGTGCGTGTGCCATCGATCAGAACAAGTAGTAATCTGAAGGAGCAAGGTCTGGTGAATACAGCGGGTGGGTTAATACTTCCCAGGCAAGATCTTTTAACGTGTCTTTAACTGGTTTTGAAGTGCGTGATGGTGCATCATCAGGAAGCAAAATTATTTTGCCATGTCTTCTGGAATATTCTGGTTGTTTCATGCTCAAAGCATGGTTCAAATTGACTATTTGTTGTTGGTAGCGATAAATATTAACGGTTTCACCTGGTTTTAGAAGCTCATAGTACACCACACCTTCCTTAACCCACCAAAGGCAAAGCATTGTCTTCTCTCCGAAGCAATTTGGCCTTGCAGTCGATGTTGATGGTTGACCTGGATCAAACCATGATTCTGTGCATTTGGGATTCTCAAAATAAATCCACTTTTCATCGCCAGTCACAATTCGATGCAAAAAAAGACTTTCTTTTGTGCCCTTGAAGTAACATTTTACTGATGACTTTCTGGTTTTCCATTTGTCTTTCGTTCAGTTGATGTGGCACCCATTTTCCT